CTGGCTACATTTCATTTGTGCTTTCACTTAAGTGCTAAAAAGCACCATTACCACTTTATATTATACAAATCTTGCAATACCATGTGAACCAGTTAGACTTCCCTAACAAATTTACAATTTATTTAGTTTAATTTTATCAAATAATACAAATTAAATCGTTAAATGAGAAAATATGAATGGATTAGCTTATTGAACAAAGTGCAGAAATGTTAGTTAGTTCGCGGGAAAAATTCAAAACTAGTCCCACAGGTATAGGGGGGTGACATTTTTGGTCCCAATAGAATGCAAAAAATATAAATAGTCCCACAACTTTTAAAAAACGATCAAAAGTAGGACTTTTTGTCGGATTTTACTGTTTTCGGCCCGGAATGCCACGTGGCGCACACGTGGCATACATTTTTTACACGCTAGCATCCGACGTGGATATGAAAAAAATCAAAACTAGTCTCACAGGTATAGGGAGGTGACATTTTTTGTCCCCACAGGTATAGGAAGGTGACATTTGATCCCACAAGTATGCATAAAATATGCAACAAAATATGCCACGTGCGCGCCACGTGGCATTCCGGGCCGGAAACAATAAAATCCAGCAAAAAGTCCTACTTTTGATCATTTTTTAAAAGTTGTGAGACTATTTATTTTTTTTGTATTCTGTTGGGACCAAAATTGTCACCCCCTATACATGTGGGACTAGTTTTGAATTTTTCCCGTTAGTTTGCTGCAAAATATCAACCTTTTTTATGTAGTGAAACGTTAACTATAACTTATGACGGAAATGTTACGGTCTCGTTACATAATTATTCCGTCGAGTTTGTAATCGTTAGATTTATGGAATCATTCCGTCAGGGTTTCTAACCGTTAGATTAACTATCCCTGACGCTTACATGATGATCTAACGATTACAAACTCCGACGGAATGGTTCCGTAACAGGACCGTAGCATTTCCAAACTTATGATACCTCATATACAACCGCAGTCAACAGAATTGGTGCTGATATGAAGACGTGGCTAATTGGGGCCCTCGCCGACTTAGAAACCTGCAGAGTAAGGATTCGATTAAGTTTAGAATCTCAGACAAAACCTTTCTCTCTACGCCCACGACTTCTCCTTCTCCACTAGCCGGCTGCAACTTTCACCTTTTTTTACCGACGGCCTTCCCTCACCAGGAGCTTCCGAGACCCCCCGAACTGACAGCTTGCCGCTGCCGGCTAGCGGCGGTCCCCCAAGCCCAAG